TTCGCCGGCTGTCGTAGAGCTTCTTTACCCGGTGTGGGGCTTGTAATCACTCCCATCTCCGTGAGGGTTTTGGCTGGTCCCCGCTTGTTCACCCCCTGCTCACTAGGTGGCGGATAATTGTAGTGGTATTCATTTCCGCTCCGTGTCGCAAAAGCTTCTTGTTCTTCTTCAGAGAGCGGGAAAGTGGAGATTCTTTCGTCATCTTCCCCTGGGATAGCAGAGACTCCATAACAAGACTTCCCTTTTCCTTTAGACTTCCTCCCGGATGACGAACCGGCCCATTGTTCATCTCCAATCAGATCTGGATGAACCCAAAGGATTTCGCCATTTGGGGTTGTGTGCGGCACAAGTCCCTTTTGGCGCTGTCCGTGCGGGTCGTCATTCACCGTCTTCATCCCGACTTTGGTGACGCGTTTTGGCTCGAACCAAGTTGTAGGCACCGACCCAAAACTGATTGACACTGCGTTTGCCCCCACATTCTTGGCTGGTTTCGGGGTTATGACCCCTACGTCGATTAACGCCTGGATCTTGTCCTTGAGGTGGTAGCATGATCTCGTAGGGTGGTGGACCGCTCTGTGGTACGCGCAGTACTTTGGATCCGTCACCTTGCTGGCCCCCTCTTGATCCACGATCGCCGGCAGCTGGATTTTGTTGTTCTCCAACAAGTATTTGAAGATGCCGGGAACTTCATCATCCTTGAAGGAGTAGACTTTGGGAAACCTCGGCTCCGAAGACTTTTGTTTCTGAGGCCGTTGTTGCCATTGTCCTCGAGATTGTTGGGGTGCTTGTTGCTGTGGCTGCTGTTGCTGTGGTTGCAATTGAAAGGTTTGATTAGCATCAACTGCATTAGCTTGTGCCTTACCTTTCCCCCGTGGGACGAAGTTTTGCTTTGGAGCACTTGTCGCCGGTTGGCCTCTTTCCGCCTTCTTCCCCATTGCTTCCAACACGTCCAACGCAAGGTTGTTGTGGCAAGTTTGGAGGATGAATTCCTCGGTGATCGGGTCCCGGCAATTCATCGCCTTGTTCCGGAACCTTTTGACGAAGGTGTCGACTAACTCTCCGTCTTTCTGCTTCTCATCGAGCAACGATCCGATAGAGATCTCGGTGTCGTCGTCGAAGAAATTTGTAAGGAACTTCGTCTCCATGTCGTCCCAGCTGTTTATGCTTCCTGGCTTGAGGCGGCGATACCAATCGAAGGCGGCTCCGCGAAGAGTGCCAACGAATGACCGCACCATCAGAGGCTCATTACCAGAGATGACTCCCAAGTGCGATTTGAAGTAAATCAAATGCTGAGTGGGTGAACCCATCCCATTAAACAGCGTGAAGTTAATTAGACTGAACTTCACTGGATATGGGATTGATTCCCACTCTCTTGGGTATGGACAAGGAATGCCCGTCTTTTTCGTCTCTTGAGCGGAAATCAATGTATTGATTTTGCTCTCGAGGTTTTTAATTTTTAGGCTTTCACCTGTATCTTCACTAGCATTCCCGTTACCACCCCCTGCATTGACGGGAGGATCATTGATATTATGAGCATTCGTATCCTCGTCCTCCTGATGGACTTGGTTGCGACGACTCGGCTCGCCTTGCTGGTTCGTCAATGCTTGGATTTGTTGGTCATGTATTTCTCTCATGTTTTACATGGCCATCTGTATTTCGAACCTGAAGGTTTCCTGCTGCTTAGCTAAGGCGTCTTCAAGTATCTTGGCGATTTGTTCCGCACTTATCATAAGTGCCTCGCGGGGTTGTCCCTCGCTGGATACCGTATTATCTGATGCGACTGCGGAGCCGGCATCAGATTCTTCATCTTCTGAAGGGCGTCTTGTCCGAACCCTACCATAGGTTGCTCGCTCGATGGTTCCGGACTGCAGACGGGTTCTAGGCCGGGAGGCTCTCAGAATCGACTCGAAATCATCCCGTGCCGATGTCCCCTTGCTGGTCATGTTGGCAGTGACCCTTGAACGTTCACCGTCTTCGACCATTGTTCTTCTTCTTCGGAAACGTCTAGTCCTTGGCTTTGGCGCTTCCATGCTGAGTCTTTGGAACACGGAAACTCTTTCGGGAAACATTTTGGTGCAGTCGCACTCAGATAATACCGCCCGAATGAGTTTTGAGCAAGGACATTGAGTCTCTAATCTTTGAGGGCTCCTCTTTCTGGATTTGCTCGTACCTCCAGCACGATAATACAGCTTGTCCGTTTGAAAGTCGGAGCAACCTATTGTGTGTTGGCACGATCTCCCAGGTATAACGTCATCGTCATCAGACAACAACGTTTCCTTCTGAGAATGAATTTCCTTCCTTGAGCTCTCCAGAGTCACACACCTCGAAACGCGCCTTTGTGGGTGTGAATCTTCAGCGGGCTCCTGCACTTCGATGCGCAAAGTTGTGCGCTTGGGTGCCACGATTTTCTCCAAATGTTGAGGGTTGCGGCAACCCCCAGCATGTTGAATTGTTTGGGACTTCTTCATTGGCCCCAACCGTTCTTGAACTGGAGCTTTGCCTCGTTCTTTGGGAAGCGGACCGAGGCGCTCCAAAACTGACTTCCTCCTCTGGGATGGTCTTGTGGGATCTCCCAGAACAGTTGCGGAAATTACCAGCGACTTAGGTTGATTCGCCGTAGTTTGAACTTTCGGCGGCTGCAGTTGTTGTTCCTTGGTCTGAACCGCCGCTTCAGACTTCGGCCTCCAAACCATACGAGTTGATGGCGGTTTCTTGACCACCTCCTTCTGTAGCTTCCGACGGGCTTCTTCGGCTTTGGCCCGTACTTGTGCCGATAATGCACGGCGTTTGCAAATACGCTCCTCCAGCGTCGTACGGTTCCGTTTGACCCGGACCCACTCCATCGTTGATGGCTTGGAGGAACCACCCTTCACTTGATGTTGAGGCTATTTGCCTCGTTTGTTCTTCAGATCCGCATTGTACGGGGGGAGGTTGATCCAGATGAGGAGACGTACTCCTCGTACTTCTGCTGGTCGAACTCATACTCGACCTCCTCCACGACCGGGATCGAGATCCGCGGCTGCGACGCTCCGATCTCGGCAGCGAGATCGGTGGCTCCCACTGTGGTCGCCAGATTGTTCGCGGGAAAAATCGTTGCTTTCTTCATTGATTCCATTGCTATCTTGAATAACAGTTTTTTTTTGTTACAAAAGATCCGGTCTTTTTTAGATCCTGTTACAATGAAAATCAAAAATAAATTAAATTAAAAAAATTACAACTTTTTCTCTTTTGTCGAACAAATCGCGAGCTCCTGTTTTACGGTCGCTCGCTTTGGTGGGTTGTTTGCCTGGGCCGGGGTTATTTGCTGTGGACCACCGCGCGATCTAGATCTGAGCAGATCTACGCAGTATAACGGGTATTATTTCACCAAGAAAATAATAGCCGGATGGATTATTTTACCAAGAAAACAATCGCTCGAATCTCGGGATCAAAGACCAAGCTTTGATCCGGAGTGTAACAACATAGATCTGAGATCTCGATCCCCTCGAACTCCTGCCTTTTGTGATGCGGGTGCTCGCCAAGAATCAGATCTGGACGTCCAAGTCTTCAAGCCTTCAAAAAAAACTCCAAGATGAGGTCTCAATCCGGCAGAGTTTCGGCTCTCCAAAAGTTCTTCCAAAAGTCCCCTCAAATGATGAATGACCCCACCTATTTATAGGCAACCAGATCTGTGCATTTGGCACAGACTGGGCCGAGCCACCTTGAGGTGGCTCGGTTTCGGCCGAGCCCCTCCGGGTTTTGCGTCCGTCGTTCGGTTGTTTCGGTTCTTGTATCCGCTTCGTCCGTGATGCGGTTGATTGGTCTGAAATCCATTCGTTGACTCGATTCCTGATTTGACAATAAATCCGATTCTAAGCTTGATTCCAAAACTGATCGTGACTCGATCGCGATTCATCCGAGTTCGTCTGTGGCGTTGCTCTGAACCCCGATTTGTTCTGAATCCTGATTTGGAAGTCTGGATCCCGATTAGGTAGTAAATCGGCTTTGGTGTCGTGGACTGACGTTCGTGCTTAGATACGTCGCCCGCGCGAGTGGATTCATTCCGTCGTTCACGTGCGGTTCGTCAGCTTCGTAGCCTTGTTAATCCGCTTCGTTGCGTGTCACTTGGCTTCGGTGTTGTGGACTGACGTTCGTGCTTAGATACGTCGCCCGATGGTTCATTAGTTCGTGTTGAGCCGTGTTAAGGGACCTATAAGCAATTTTATATGCCTACAGCATGTTAACCTATAAGTATAGCATATTAACTTGTAAGTATAGCACGTTAATCAGTAAGTATAGCACGTTAACCTGTAAGTATAGCATGTTAACCTGTAAGTATAGCACATTAACCTGTAAGTATAGCACGTTACCCTGTAAGTGTAGCACGTTAACTAGTAAGTATAGCACATTAACTAGTAAGTATAGCACGTTACCCTGTAAGTATAACACGTTAACCAGTAAGTATAACACATTTCCCTGTAAGTATAGCATGTTAACCTGTAAGTATAGCACGTTAACCAGTAAGTATAGCATGTTAACATGTAAGTATAGCACATTAACCTGTAAGTATAGCACGTTAACCTGTAAGTATAGCATGTTAACCTGTAAGTATAGCACATTAACCTGTAAGTATAGCACGTTATCCAGTAAGTATAGCACATTAACCAGTAAGTATAGCACGTTATCTTGTAAGTATAGCACGTTATCTTGTAAGTATAGCATGTTATTCAAGAAATCAAGGGAAGACAATGGTGAGTATAGCACGTCATATCCAGCTTCACTACTATTTTCCTTTCCCTTTGCTAGCACTTGCATTCAACTAACATCCACATTAAATTACCAGAATTTATTTTCAAGGGTAAAAAGATAACTTCATCAGGCTTCAACACATAACATATGTTAACCCCCATCAATTACCATCATACTAAATCAAGTAAGTAGATAAACTGCACCATAGTACTCTAAATATTATTCTCAATCAACTGAATTTTAATTACATCACCATCAAAAATTAAGCATAATTATGCAAAAATAAATAAATATAGCATCCAAATAAAACCAGTTCTTAAAAAAACTTCATCACCTCATCATGTGAATTACATCTCACTAATCGCCCGCATACATTACAAACACATCAACACACTCGTACATTACAAACACATCAACACATCAATATAGCTTCGTGTCGAGGGCGGCGAGGCGGCGGTCGACGGCAACGGAGGCAATGACCATAATATCCCAAACACCAATCGCTTCGCTCAACATTCGAGCTTTTAGGAGCCCTTTAATAAGAAACGTATACGTCACAACAGTCGGCAAACTTCCCGAATCTATTATTTTTCCAAACAAACCAAAACCCAAAGGAACGTTGCCAGCTTGGCACAACACGACAATCAAAATTCTCCAAATCTCCACGGTAGGCCGCAGACCTGAAACAAGCATAAACCCCATCAACTGAAAGACCTCCTTGATTCTCCCCACCTTCTTAAAACAATCTAAACTTGAAGTAAATGACCCAACGTTGAGCTGAAATCCTCTCCTAACCATCTCCCTCAAAACTCCTCACACCACTCGCCAATCCCCGTGCTCGCAAAGATTTCTCATCACAATGTTAAAAGTAAAGAAATTCGACATCTTGGTCTCTCTAAAAAATCTCATCACTTCGCAAAACTGACCGCTCTTAAACAGCCCATCGATAATCAAATTTCTCGCAAGCGTGTTCCGCACGAACCCTCTCCTACCCATTTCATCAAACACCTCTCGGGCGAAGATAAACATGTCCCCTCTGCAGTAGACCCTCATCAAGATCAGGAAAGTTTTGGCCTCCGCAGGAGACCCGATAGCCTCCAGCTCCTCCACAATGTCGGCGACGGACCTGAGCTTGAATGTCAAGCGGCGGAGGACGGGGATCATTACATCGAGCGAGTCACGGGCGTGGAAGAAGTCGAGCTGGCGAGAGCACCAGAGGAAGAAGCTGAGGGAGATTGAGTTCGATGGGCATCTGGAGAGGGTCGAGTTGATAAGGGCGGCTAGAGACGAGCGACGACTGCTGGAGACGGGCGCCGACGGCCGGAGATGGGCGACGGCGGCAATGGGCTTTCATTTTTTAATTTAGGGCTGAGTTGAGAAAAGGGTGAGGAGGAGGAGAGATATTTATATGGGGCCAAGGGGTATTTTTGGGATTCTGTATAAATACATGTGCTGAAAGTATTGTATTTTGAAGTTTGGGTTTAAAGATAAATACAAAAAGTAAATTGGGCTTAAAGATACAAATAATAGTACTTGGGTTTAAAAATAAATGAGAGTAAACAAATGGGCCTAAAAGCAAAAACCCCATAAATATAACTAGAGGGGATTGTAAAGTCAAAATGGGGACGCTACAAGGGGTCACTTTACAATTATCCCATTAAAATTTTATATAAATATGCACTTGGAAAGGTTCGCTCTATTTCCTTAAAGTAAGGAAATGCTGAACAATTTAATGAAAGAGACTTACAAAAATTTAATGAAAAAAGGGAAATATCTGAGCCATGTGCTGCCCAAAAGATTCCATACAGTGAACCAAAATACCTGCTGCCTTGTCCGACTTATTCTGGATAAAATCTTCAGACCCCCAACCGTCAATAGAATCTACGTACCAAATAAAACCAACATTCTGAAGACAAAAACTGAGAAGAGTCATGTGATGAGTACGTATTTCAGCAAATTAAATACTTATTGAACAATAACTAGAGTCTTAGTCAAACTACAACCCATTATTGTCAGCCAAACTTTGCACTATAACAAAGCAAAGCACATAGTGCAACACTTATGATACTGATCACTGTAAAGAGTCATGGCTGTTGATGGACATAGTGAAGCTGGTGGTGATGGAGGTGGTGACCATTGTCATGATGGCAATCTCCACCGCGGTTTTCTGTAGTGTGTCCAGGCTCCGGCCACCCTCGGATTGGCCCTCGAGTCAGCTCCAGCAATGAATCCCTGACTTGATCGACTTGCATCGTTTCATTGTCCCTCTTCTGCATGCATCACAACTTATTAGCAATGTACTATTAGGTTGACTGAAGAAAAAAGAAACTCAACCCGATTATTTCTTGATATTACTCATAGAATATGAATGTATGATATATATTGTTTCTTTTCTCCTAAATTTATCTACACTACTATTTGAATTTTGGTGTTAACAATTGATGCCACAACTCACTCACAACTACTGTCAAAACTAACGTGCAATAAATTTTGAATTTGGATTATCTCAACTGTAAGGTAGGTAATGACCCAAAAAAAAGATAAAATTAATTATTCACGCGCAATCGTCTAATATATAAGGATGGTTATCATTTCTCGTCTGATGTAAATAACTATATATGTCGTTTAATTCTGTTATTGCAATTTTTCACTTAAAAACTGCCTAATACTGAAGATCTAATCTAAGTCCATAAAATTTTCTATGTAGCAGGATTATAGGAAATTTCCTAGTTGTCAACTGACTTCTAATCTAGATCATGGTATATTTCAAGTAAATTATGACAGATAAAAATAGAAGGTTTTGTCTGCTGATATGGGAAAAAGAGAGAAAATTAAGCAAAACTCAGAAATTTTACCTGCACCCTGAAAACATTCAGTACTAAAGACTGAAGAGTAGTCACACTTGCATTGGTCACCTCCAGCCCAAGCGAGCTCATTGCCTCCATCAGCCTTGCAAATCCTCCAACCTTATGCTCACAAAAAACCTTGAGGTAGAAGTCATTAGCTTCCAGCTGCTTCACCTCCACTTGTGGCTAAAAGAATATCAAAAACCCATAAAAAATAAAGCATTTACTTCTAACAAAACTAGATTTAGTTGCAATTTCAATTAGTGACCTCCATTTGATTCCCCTTCTCCTCATTGTTCGACTGATCAACAGTCTTAGCATTTCTCGTACTTGTAGCGTTAAGGGACTCCTCAAGCTCCATGAGATTATAATTTATCATCCCATTTCGATTGCCTGTTTCCACATTGTCATAGTTGCTTTCGATTTGCTTTGAATCGGTGTCATCTGGATTTGATTCATTCTCGAGCTCGTCCTGCAGATCTTTTACCTGCTTCTGTAACTCCATCACATACTCTATCGCATCTCCAAGAATCGATGCTCTATCCATCTGATACATTTTCATGTAGTAAGAAGTATATTGATTGACACATGCATATATATTGAAACTATTCTTCGTAAAAAGTTTTAATTTTCCGTTTCCATTTGTCATCATAGAATGTACATATTAATTGTACTTGTGTTAGTATTCTGGCTGGCTCTCTGAATAGTATAGCATGCCATTGCACATTCAATACAAATTGCGTAACATTCTTGATATTTCAAACACTGACCTTTGTGATTTTAGGAACCAAGGCCCTGAGAGCGTAGAGCCGATCATTAAGCTTCTTCCTCCTCTTCCTCTCCGCCACAAGATTCTTTGCATGATGCCGCTTCCCGTTCTTCCCTACCGCCCTCCCCTCCTCATCATCCTCACTCCCCTCCGTCCCCGAATCTCCTCGCGCACTGCCGCCCTCATGTTTCACCGATTCCTTCTCCGCTGGAGCAGATTCCTTTTGCTGATGCACACTCGTCAGCCCTGCCTGCTGCCCGTACCCCGTGCTGTCCATTGTTGCAGCCGCATCGAGCTGCAACTGGTCGAAGATGTTCATCGGAGATGCGTAGGGTTGTGATTGGCCACCTGCGGATGCCTCCCACTGGAAACTCTGATCATCAAGGAAATTACCCGCAGTTGGATGGTCGTAGATGCTCCCGTTGCATTGTGACATGATGAAGTCTGTCATCTGTTGGTTCTCAGCAACCTGCATTAAGCACATTTGCATTTATACTGATAGACAATAATGATATGGGCATCAAGATTTGTGCCATGCCAAATGTCATGCTCTCCCTATTTGATATTCAACAGAGGACCCTGATAGAATATTTTTCTTATACAATGGACACGCAAAGATTATTCCTATTTTATTGTTAGAGCACACGGATGGTGTGAGTGAGCTTACTTGCTTCGAGACTAGTAGCTCAACTAGTCCACCAGCAATAGGAACAAGAACCCTAGTCTTTGCTCCAACCGCATCCTGCAATAAATAGTAGATAAAAAGGTTACATTAATCTCTAGTCAAGAAATTGCAAAGTAAAGTAATTAAGGAAAGAAATGAGGTTGAGCTTACATGAAGTGTTTGCCAAGTTGGCTGGTTCGACATCAATACTTGTGCGTAAATGCTACGTCAAAATCAAATATTGGTAAAGAATAACTCAAACATGAAGGAGTGAGGATGTAAAGAGTTTGACGCGCTTAGTTAGTACCCTAAAGAGGAATCCAAGGGGATGGAAGAAGGAAACTCTGAGAGAGCATCGCATGCCCTTGTTCTTGGATGCTGCAGCATTAAATCCCTGCATGGTGATTTCTGAAATGTTTCATCACCAGAGAAAAGCCCTCCACCATTCGCAATGCTTGCCTCTGTTCCGCTACAACAGCATCCCATCCACTCCAAAAACCTGCAACGTAGTAAAATTAATTAGTAAGGACTTCTTAGTCTGAAAACTTATGTAAACTAAAAAAAATTAATTTATACATTAATATACCTCTGATCTTGAGACAATTTCCACAGGATGCAGTAGTCCCAGCCATTGCCACCCACAAGTGGCCTCAGACCCTCAACCACGCTGGAATATGACAACACCTTCATTTCTCTCCGAAGATTGTTTATCTGCAGAATATAATTAATACCAGGGGAGTTTGTCACATTAAATATCAAAAGCCTGCAGTTCGCAGGTTGTAATATTGATGACAGAATCCTTGGGAGCAGAACTTGCAGAGATATGTCAAGAGATTATCATCACCTTTTCGGTAGTAAAAGATAGGATTGTTCTTTTTGACTGTACTGGATGTAATAATTGAAGAAGAGGGAGGGTGTACAGAACCGGATGATAGCTATGGGTAACTGAAGAGCCACATCATGGGCAATTTTCTCTGAAATAATATCACAATGAGATAGGGGAGGTTGGGTGGTGATGATGATGATGTCCGTGATAAATTAGAGTAGGAAAAAGTTTGCATGATTTTGTAATGGTTTGAAGGCTGTTATGCGAGTAGGTGGATTACATAAGAAGTGTGAAAGCAAGCGCAAGAAAAATAATGATGTCATTCAGAGTCGGTTATATATTGAAAGAACACGCAAAAATCTAAATTGTTCAGTTTGTTGGTCACATTTGTTGTGTGGAAAGTTGCGGTTATTGGAGAATGCATCATCGTGTAATCATAAAAGGTCTAACAGAAATTTGTTGTAGGTAGCAGGATTTTTGTGTCAAAAAAAGAGTACTGCTTGGACGCGAAGGGTCATACATATTAGATTTGGCATCAAATTAATGTAAAATTTTTAATGTGTTTAGTATTATGCTTCCGAAGATATCCAAGTTCTCACAAACAGGGTGGTATCAGATCTTGTGAAAGTCAGCAATTTTGTCCGCAAATGCAGTGTGGCCCAGAATTGAAGTCTTGTAGGGTAGGAGGTCTGGTGGTGACAACCCCCATCATGCAGGTTTATTTGCGTGATTTTAGTATTGTGGATAGGGACCTCTATATCATGCAGCGGTCGAGTACGAGCCTCGGCAACGATTAGGTGAGATTCATCACCCGAGGCCTTCGTTGGAGTGGAAGACCAGCGAACCTTCTTTGAAGATGAGATATTTCTGCACTTGCGGTGCGAGGAGGATTTTGAAGAGGAGGATGAGAGGTATTACTCGAACTTCTCCTGGTTGAACTCGTACTTGACCGCTGCATCAACCGGGATCTTGATCGGTTGCAACACTGCAGTCTTGGCAACGAGACTGTTGGCTCCCACAGTGGTCGTCAGCGTGTTTGCGTCGGAAATCGGTTTCTTTGCAGAGTCCATTACAAGCGTTTATCAATACAACGGAATCACAAGAGTGAGCTTTATTATAAGACTTCTCTTTACAAAAGAAACAAAAAGAGGATTTTCTAAAAATACACGTAGAAATTGTTTATCAATCGTTGTTTGCGTGGGATATTTACCTGTGCCGGGGACGCGTTAGCCCATTGACGACCGCTTCACAGATCTGGATTGATCGTGAAGAAAGCTAGGTGTTCTTGTTTGAACGAGAAAACTAGAACAAAAGTATATCTCAATGAGGTGAGATAAATACTCTTCTCGAGATCAAAGCAATGTTTGATCTTAAGGAAAGGGGTGAAGGCATGTAGATCTCTCGAAATCTTCCTCTTTATGCACGAAGTTCGCCAAGATCTCGCCTTTCTCTCTGAAATTCGTGGCTTTCTGCTCTCAAAATGTGAGCACCTCGCCTCCAAAGTCCAGAACTCTCTGCCCTTGTGCACAAGGGTGATAGGGGGTATTTATAAGCTTCGGACGACGTGTTTATGGATAAGAATTTATGATTTGGGTGTATCTTCAGTTAATAACGACTTTCCCGTGTTTAGGGATGTTCTCAAAGCAGTTAGGAAGCCAGTGGACCGCACGAATCCTGATGAATCGATTGAGAAACGTGTTTTTTGGGAGTTCACTGTGCGAGACACACTTGGGTGTCTCGACCTGCGAGACACATTTGCGTGTCTCAAAGTGCGAGGCACACTTATTTGTCTCAGATTTCGAGACACATGAGTGTGTCTCGTTCTGTTGTTTTGTCGTCTCGCGTGCTTCGTCGTTTCGCGCGTTCCTTTGCTTCCTTTTGGCATCGGATTATCCTCTTTGACTTAGATATCAACGTTAATCGTCTTCTCTTCGTCTCGAGCTGCATTCGGGAACCTATAAGCAACTTTTGGCGCCTACACTCGCATTTATGTGCCCAAACGAGAACATCACGAAAGCCAGAGTGAACGCGATCCTCAGCGTCGCGTTCCACAACTAAAACGCGGACCTCAAGTCCGCATTGAATGCGGACCTCACTTCGCGTTGCTCAGTCAGAACACAACCCTCACGTTTCAATCACAAAATATGACCCTCGCGTTGCTCAGCCTGAATGTGAGTTTCAACTCTACGTTCCGAAACTAGAACGCAGAGGTCAATTCCACATTAAACGCAAGCGTCAACACCGTGTAGCTCAACTAAAACACGACCCTCGTGTTTCAATTGTTCAACGTGAACTTCGCGTTCCAAGTGCCAAACGTGACCCTCGTGTTTTTTTCCTCAACGTGACCCTCGCGTTTCTAATACTAAGTGTGATGTGATCCGTCGTGTTCAAAAAGACGAACAGGGATTCAAGTTCCATGTTCACCAGGAGTCATTCCCGTCTAACCGTGGACAGGAGGTTCCAATTCAAACCTCACGTTTAGTGAGTAACTCTTCTCAAGTCTCTGTAATAGATTTGAGAGAGTTCATATCGAGAGAAAGACCGGTACAACAAGTCATTCGTTTATCCAAATGTGAACAATTAATTTCTGCGGTCCTCTTGGGATATCAATGCTGCTCACATGCGGCCAAACCATCAATGTTCGACCGATTAACAAACGTTGTATTGTTCAACAAATGATGACGTTCTTACAGGAATAAAACTTCGGAGGATGAATACTTTGGAGTTACTTCCAATATGATCAGTGTTGGGAGATCATCAAGCTCTAGTTCCGATGAATCGGAGACAGACCCATCTCCTGGCTTGAAAGACCTCCTCAATGAGTCCGATGGAATTTATCAGCAAACTCGGACCAAAAAGGGAGTCATACGTCCCATCAACTATCGAAAGTTGGCTAAAGGAATTGAGCCTGATGATGAAGATTCAAACATCGTAGAATCTCAATCCTCTAGCTCTTTTGTAGAACATGAGAACTCTGCTTATATTACGGGAAACCCTAAAGATCTGGTGAAGAAACTTAAAGAGCAGCAAGTCATGCTCAAATCACAGCAGGAGACCATCAATGAACTCTGAATCTTGATGGCTCAAATTGTCGTGGACAGGACCAAGTCCCATAAAGTAGACTCACCGCCTCGGCATGAATCTTCCCAAAGAGGAGGATCATCTTCATCCCGACCTCTTACATCGAAGGGGAAGGAAAAAGTTATTGAGACTTCTGATCAAGAAGCTCACAACTTAGAATCTTCCTCTGAAGAAGGAAAAAAGACCAAGAATGAGTAGAATCCTTAGTCTGCTAAAATGGAAGAACTGGAAGCCCGTCTTAATGCTATTGTGATACAGCACGAAAGTGATAACCTCAGAATCCACCAATGGTGTTCTCTGAATCCACAAAGAACGATCTTCGAATCCACGAAGAACTTCGAATCCACGAAAAAAATATTGAAAAGAGAAATTTTATTGATGAAAAGTTATTATCCTTTGGGGTTACATAACTCTTCTTAAATAGAAAAATAAATAAGGCTCCTAGTAAGTTAGAATTATAAAAATAAAAAGTATCAAATAAGACTCCTAGTAAGACTAAAATTATAAAAAAAAAGTGTCAAATTTTATCCTAAAAAGACTCCTTATAATAGAGGAAACAAATCATGAATCAAAATTGATTTTGTTTCCTTATCTAATTTGACTCTAAAATTAAATTTATTTACTAATCTAAATAGACTCCAACTCAGATTAAGCGTCCTACATCAGTCTCCCCTGCTTGAAAAGAAGCACGACCCCGAGCTTATATTTGTTAGAATATTAGCTTCATTGATAAATAATTTTCTTCTCTTGCAATGATCAACATCCGCCTTGTATTTAGTATTGATTTTCTCTATTTGTTCTTTTACCGCCTCTGCTAGGACTTCTTTTGTATCAAACTTGTGTATGAATCTGTTCCATGATAAGTGTATGTAAATGACAGCATGTGGCTCTGTAGTTGACATGAAAAACTCCTCCAAATATATTCCTTGTTGCTTCCCATATTCTAGTGTCGACGGTATCATCTCACCTTTGTTAAAATTATTGATGATCATTGCTTCAAAAGAATAATTTTCTTCCTCATACCCCATACACAATTCTTTCATCTCTTTTATCTCAAGCTCTCCACCAAGCAATACACACAAACCATCAAATGTCTCACTCTCTATTTTATCTTTCTCCTCCATTGAGATAATATCAATATGTGTAACTGTTAGACCCTAGAGGGGGTGATTAGGGTCTTATGCTAATCTAATCCGATTTAAATACCAATTAAAACTAATTCAAATATTATTCTTGTAAGATAGATATATAATATGTTATGAGCAATAATATGCAATATGAACAAAGAAATATATCCTAGCAAAGAGGTATATGATGAAATATATGCAAGGATATATAAATTAACACAAGGGTAAACAATCCAAACTAAAGATACAATTGTGATAGGACAATATAAACAATACAAACACACAATATGATCATGGAGTTCGGACCTTCCGTCCTACGTCTCCGTTCCCCACTCCCGGGGAGAAATCCACTATCACAACCGAGTTTTCTACGCTCACCCGAATAACGTTTACACCTCACACTCGGTTTTCTAGCTAACCGAAAACTTTACAATCTCACACTCTTGCACTTTACACTCTCTTAAGTGTTGATCTCTAGTCCGTGTCTTCCTCAAGTGTTAGGAATTATAACCTCTTTCTAGGCATTACCACCTACTGCACTCCTCTTAGGACGACCCCGTCTCTCACCACATACTCCTCTCGGTGTACAAGTGTATTACAAAATGATCTACACAATTAAGGCTCACAAATATAAATTTGTTCTCTATAATAGATGAGAACTCAATTAAGCTCACTCTCAATTGTTACAACTCCCCACAACCCAATTATATAATATATGCAAATACAATAAGCTCAATGGTTGTGTGTGTAAGCAATGAGAAAATTAATCATAAACTCAATGTAAACCTAGCCTGATGAAAATGATAAACAACAAATAATTAATACAAAGCTAGTATTGAGTTTAGAAATTCTTCTCTGAAAAACAAGATGGAGAGATGGATTAAAATGAAGCTTCAAACAATGTAGATGATCTCCTCCACTTGTAAGAAACTTCATCACAAACAAACTCTTTTAAAACACACTAAACATACTTTAAAACCCTTGTTAAACTTGTTTTAAATATTTTATGGATTATTTGGAACTAAGGATATATGGGGGTATTTATAGGAGCCCCAAAGCCAAGAGAAAACAATACAAAAAGTCCAAAAACCCAAAAATAGTACAGTCTGGAAATATAGTCGTTACAGTGTTATGAGTCGACTTGGT